TTGAAGCTAAATTTTGAACTTGCAGAGACCCGGGTACACAAATCAACAACAATATGGACAAAACTACCTAACTTTCCATTGAACTGTAATGGAAGGCTTGTCTTTGGGTTTTACTTTAACACCAGTTACAAATAGATTTATTTTATATCCAGATATGCAGTTGCAAGTGGATTACACAAGTCACCAACTTGAGAAACTTTACAGTTAGAAAAAGAATTGACTCAGAGACTGAAATTCAAATCACATACAATACTTTAATACAAATTATTCAATTATTCATCTACATTCAAGTCTGTATTACCAAAAGTATCTTGAAAAGCTTTTAGGTTAATAGAATCAAATTCTTTGTTCTGAGTGAGTAACAGTTCATTAACCAAACATTCAATAATATTCATTAAGTCTCTCACTACAGTAAGAAGATTATTGTTTAAAACATTATGTAAGACATGCCCAGTCATAATTTATGATCTTTTAACATTATACATTTTACATCAATTCCTAACTATGCTATTCAACCAGAGAAGGTATCAGTAATTACTTACATAGAAATTACATGCTGCAAATTCTCGATGGACTGAAGGACTGCCATTCTGCTAACTGTCATGGATTTGAGAGCCATGGAATATTCATCAGAGAACTAACTAACTTTTAGTCCCAAAACATGACTTTTTATCCACATTTTCGTCTGTTCTTACAATGACTCAACCAGCTCTACATGCTTAATTTGCAAGTAGGTCCTCTGTCTAATTAGTCAGTTCTGTAATTTTATCAATCCAAAACCAAAACTCATTGTTAATTGGTTATGGTCAAGAGCTGTTAATTGGCAGCCTATTTGCATGTATTTCTCCTCATCTTCCTTCTGATCAAATTTCCATCAGTGAGTTTTTTATAGAATTCATTTCCTCTAGTTAGCATTGATAATATAAACTTTCTGTAACCTTTCTGTATGCTAAGATTATGTCTGTTTATGATATAAGACAAACTGCTGGTTTATACTGCAGCTTGGAATGCTTCGCAGTATTTGTTTAACATGTACATTTCCTTCTTTGATTAATTGTTTCAATGTAGTTTACATTATACATCTGCTGGTGTGCAACCATTTTTCTTCACTTGAAATGTATATGTGTCATACATGAGTATTCATGAACATTATATTTTTTCTTTCAAAACATTTGTAATTCTCCACAAAATACCTCAAATGCTTCAGATACTGACACATTCAACATCAGCATTTATGTACAACTGCTCCTCATTCACAACTTTCCAAACAGTTTTCATAAATGTAGTGTAATGTGTTTGACTTGATTAATATGCCCACCTTCCACAAGCAACAAGTGATGTTTACACTCATGTGTTTCAATCTCACCAGCTGAGCAAATTGTTGTCTGAAACTGGAAATGATATAACAACAATTACTGTCAGAGTAATAATGGATTATGGATTAAGTTACAGATTTTTGGGATTTAAAAGAAATCCATACATATTGGAGCAGCAATATCTTTTATATGGTGTGGCCTATAGGGTGTTAATGTCCTTCATCTAATTAATATGAATTGTCATTTTTGTTGTGTATCAATAAACAAAGCCCAAGAATCCACAAACTGTCTTTATTGTTTTGAGCTAGTTGAGTGTAATGTAGACAATCTAGTGCCTGAACAAATAGCCATAACTGCATGTATGTGTAACATGACACCTCACAATCACATGCTACTTACCCAACTCTATGGAAAACACTACTGCAATCTGTTGCTTTTGATGGGATTGATTACTTCTCCAGTGAGTATAAAAGTACAGCAATAAAACTGTAAAATTAAAAGAAAACATATTTAGAAAGGATAGAAGTTGAAACTGTTAAGTAATTTGGATGTTTCTGATCAAATACTGCTGTAAGTATAGAGGAAAATGGTGTTTATTTCACACTTTGTAACTTTTCATTTCACTGTACATTGATTATTTCAGTATAGATAATTTTAGAGTAGAGAAAATATAAGAAAATCTAAAGTTTTATCTTAAAAAACTATTTTAACATTCATTTAGTAGATAGTGAAGGTTATGTAAATGAAATATGAAAATAACTATTTTTATTCTTATCGTGAAAATCACCTTTCACTTAGACTGACTTGGTAAAGACCTCATAAATTCACAGACAAATCTTTAGTAGAAATCTTTATTAAAAAATCTGGTTGTGTACAACAGGCTTGTAATTGTGAAAATATACTTACTTAATACAGAATAGTGGTAAACATTATTATTATAGCTTCACAGATGTGAGGTCAGTCAGTTTGACTCCATGACCTCAGAGATTTGGTCTCATGAGGAGCATACTTTCCACATCAGTGTTATGGAACTCTTGGCTGTCCATCAGGAGTGTTTCTATTTGATACCTCACCTTGTGGATCACTTATTTATGATCCACTCTGATAATGCTCAGGTGTTTCCCATATCAATCATCAAAGTGGAAACTTGCCCTAGGGATCTTTGCTTCTGCATGTTGGACTTTCTGTTTTGGGCCGACTCACAGTGAATTCATGTAACCATCTGTCATGTCCTGAGGGCTTTGAAATTGGTGTCAGATTGTTTGACTAGATAAGATTCTTCCAACAGTGTTAATTTTATCCTAAGGTTTTTTATTGGACCTGTTCCCACTTTGGCATGCCAGTGATCCATGCCTTCCCAACTCCTCTCAATTCCAAACTTACCTTCTTCTGGTCCCAGATACCTCATCCAGTGGCTGTGGCTGTGGATGCTCTCAGCCAAGACTGATATTATCTCTATCTGTATGTGTACCCTCTTCTTTTCTCATTCTCCCACATGTCCTGGCTTTGATTCATGACACTCCATATCAGGTCCTGTTGGTATCCTCCTTTTAGTGTGTTCAATCTTGGTTTCCTCTTCTTCACCAACTGGTTTCCAGGGCACCTCTTTCTCTGCCTCATTCCCAGTCACTCTTGCTACAACCTCATACATCTCTCTTTCACCCAGGAGTGTCATCCTTTCATCTTCACTTTTGGGATTTGTCAATTCCCCTGCTTGTTGGTCAGGTTTCTCAGACCATGTAGCCTTTCCTTTATCCCATTCATATTACCTTTAGATTCTCTTTGTCTATGAATGAAAGTAATGCATTTCTTGACACTAGTCTCTCTGCCACTGTCTTCTACTGGGCCCTTCTACTGTTGTCCACTTTTCAGTCTTCTTTACCTGGTTGTTCATTCAAGAATTGTCTGTTTCTACCGTAGCAGGCTATCAGGCAACCTTATCAACTACCTGTTGACTTTTTCGCTATGGTTTTGTCTTTTCTTCTGCTGTTCTTTCCATCATGTTTGGGTCTTTCCTCATCCCTCTCATCCAATTTATTTGCCTGACTGAAACCTAACTTTGGTCTTACATGCTCTTAACCAGGCCCCATTTGAACCATTAGCCACTTGATCATTATACCATCTTTCTCTCAAATCCTGTTTCCTTCTTCTTCAAATTCCTTCTTCTTGCTGGTAGTTGTCACAATTCTGATCTTTATGCAAGGGATACCTCATGAACTTTTGTGTCCAATTTGAGCAGTCAGATACTACTTGATATGCACAGCTCCATTTTGGGGTTCCTGCAATAGTTTATTATTGCCATGGAACTCCTCTTCTTCCAGGGATCTCTTGTCTTCTATACTTACTGGTTATTGGATGGATTCATCAGCTCATCTGAATCATATATTCCTTCCTGGGTGGAGATGTTCACAGGCTGTATCATATCACATCAAATCCACCACTTGATTCACTCTCTGATCTCATACTTTCAACAACCCTTGGATGAGATCCATCAGGCTGGAATGTTGACTATGCCCAGCACCTTCATCTGTCAGTTTTGTCTCCATCACAGTATTGCTTACCTCCAGTCTACTCATTGTCTTAGATGGGTAAGTGCTTCTTTTACTTCCTCATTGTTTTTGATGGGTAAGTGCTTTTTTTACTTCCCCTTGCTTCTTCTTGCTTCTTGGAATTCTGAGTTCAGTTTGTTGGATTCTGAGCTTCTTCAGGTTGGGGGTAAGACTTGTCCTGTTGAATGCTGCTTACCTTCCCTTTGTAATTCTGGTGGCTAACATGTGACTGTACCTTGGGCATGCAGCATCCTGTAACTTTCAGGTTGGGCTCATATCATATTTCTATTACACAATTATATCATATTGCGATCCCCATTCCCTAGTAACTACACCTTGGACTTAGCTCTGAGTCCACAGCCCTATAATTTCAACAATGATATGTGGAACCTTGTCTGTGTGATTGGGGCCTGGACAAATCTCATGATAATGAACAATGTACCATCCACATTTAGATTTCACTTTATGTGGGCGAAGAGCATACCTGTTCAAGAAGTGGTGCGGACCCCCACTAGTGTGCTTTATTATATCTCACTATTGCATGCCTGTTTTTCTATGCAGATGCTATCCGTGTGGATCTTTCCTCACTGGCCTCTCCACATGGTCAGTGTGGGATTCTAGCTAAAGTTGTCTTGAAAGTTTACATTTACCTATACCAAAAATGTGATTTCTATTATACTTACCTCCTGTCACACTGTCCTGTCCTTTTTATCCATGATAGCCAGTGTTTGGGTCTGATAATCTTGCCAGTCTTGAAAAAGTGAATAAGAAAGAATAATGGGGAGCTTATATACAGATCGGTGGAGAGACTCATAAGATTAAAATCACTTGGGGGTGATATAGTGGGGTGTGAAGACTGGAGAAAACAAGGTAGAATTCATATACCATTGCTTGGACAGGCAAAGAAGACAACCTTTCATCAGGATAAAGCTAAAGTATGAGAGGAGATAAGTATTATTGGAAATACATTTTTGGTATAGAAAAATGTATACTTTCAGGAAAAAGAAAAGTCAACTTTAAGAAACTTGTAATAAAAGTAGTTATTCTAACTTTCTGTACTGTACTTGCTCTAGTGTACTGTACATGATTTTTAGCAAATTTGCTGTTATGATATTTATTATAATACTGGTTTTAAAATCTTGCAGGAGAAGCTCTTGGAGCAATAGGTTCACCAGAGGTCTTGGATACACTAAAAGAGTACAGCCAGGATCCTGTTGTTGAAGTAAGGTTTAAATAAAAAGTATTTAGTTCAGTAACTTAACTACCACTTTTTTGAAAATGAGCATACTATGTATTGTACATTTTGAACATTTTTTATTACAAAAACCCATATCTTGTTGAGTTGCTCAAATGTTGTTCATAGAAAATAAATTAAACCTATTAACTTAAGTAAAAAATGCAAGTACTCTGCAAAAAGGAAGGATAATTGGAACTTATAATTGTTTAGGAAGACAAAGCAAAATTATTAAAAATATTATTAATTACTTCTCCCCCATGCCATTAAGTTTTATGTAAATCAGACTTTCTGATGATCTTTTATGTGATTGTAAAGACAAATGATTTGTCATTCAGCCTACATTTGCTAGAGGTGGTTTTACATTTCAAGAGTTGATGATATTTCACTTCAGCATGGTTGTCATGAACCATAATTGCAACTGTTGTTTTGTTTAATAGAGAAGAGCTGATTTCTCCAAGCCCATTCCCTTAGCTGTGGTTTCACTAGATAGTAGATAAGGACAGTGGGAATCTTGTTAATCCATTCATGCGCATCACTAATTAGATGACAAGGCATTTGGCCACTTTGAACCCATCTGGGGATAGAATTTTTCCTTAACTATTCCCTTCATCTACAGGGAAGGAGTTCTATGTTGAGGGATTGTTGTCTGTTAAGTCTGTTGTCTTCTCAGATATCCCATTCTTGCATTATTCTGTCTCATTTGTACTAACCAGACAGCTCATCTGGTGGTATATATCAAGAAGGAAGGTGGGACTCATTCTTACAGCCTTTGTTTGTTGATATCTGTCAACTTTGGCTACATTCACATAACATTTTTGTCATAGAGGGTGCCCTTCAATTGATGTTAACCATATCGCCCCACGTATCCTTTACTGTGCATGATACAAGGTTTTAATATTTTACATTCAAAATTTTATTATACTACTTTTTGTTTATGTTACACCAATTAGAATAGCATAAAATCTTAGCTAATAATCCATATTTTAATAGTATATAAGTTTTAAGTTCTTACTTCTTCATGGGAATATTAAAATAAGTCTTGAATTTCCACTAGTGTGACCCACGTGGTACATTTTGTCTTAGCATGTCATCATCCCTATTTTATCCATCACCCCTCCAAAATGTACAAAATTAAACGTAAATTACTCTATAAAATTGTCATTGCTCAGACAAACCATAATTTTTATAGTCTTCAATTTTCTTTGGTTACAGAGCTATCGAATAGAAAATCAGACCCCTCCTGCCACACCCACCTGTCACATCCTCTCTTTCACAATTCATTGACAGTTCTCTCTTATGTTTCATTACATATTACCTCTAACCAATAGAAAGTTAAGGTTTTCATCTATCAAATGATGTATTGTATAACACTATTATGAACAGAATATCTTCAATTTCACTCGCAGTACAAGATTCGTTCCCATGGGAAAGTTAACAACTAGCTTGGATGAATTTGTAATGGCTCTTGTCACACAGTTAGAAAGCCAGGAAAATTTTGTAAGGCAAGTGAATTTGTCTACTTTTTGCATGTTATTAGTCTATATTCTTTGGTGCATT